ATATATATATATATATATATTCTACCATGATGTTGAATATGATGTCCCACTTTGATGTTTTCTTTTCAGTCAGTTTGAGTATTATTATTTCTTTGTTATAGGGAGGAAATAATTTTTAGGTAGACTATGCTAATAGATAGAGCCTCCACATTTAGTAGTAGTCCTTCCCCTGGAGGCGGGTGTAGGTGATCTTGCTTAAGCGCACTGACGCTTTTCTTGTTGTTTATTTTATTTTACTCTTCTTTTCAGGTGGTTTAGAGCATTAGAGAGTCGCATGATGACGAGGTTTAGGCATAATTGCCATCATATGAGCTAGTAGATGAGACTCTACAGTAGACAAACCTTATTTTCAGTTATTAGAGTTTCTTTATTTTTTTTTTCTTACTTTGTAGAGGCTATAAGCCTTGGTAAATTCTTAGTTGATCTATGTTGCAATACATTCATATATTTCATGATGACAGATGTGTTCCAGACTTGTTCATTGAGACATGATTTATTTATCAGATATTCTTTCTTATATCATGTCAGTTGTAGTTATTTTCCTTCTTTTGCCTTTTTGTACATGTATTTTATTTTTGATTCCACTAGAGGATATTATTGTGATTGGTGAAACTTGTTGTTACACAGTGTGGGTGCATTGCAGATTTGACATATCTCAATTTACCTTGGACTGCAACCATGTGTGAAAACAGGGGCGTCACAGAAAAAGTTTAGGAAATTACACGCATGAAACTATTTGTAAGCTTGCCAATCGACCACGAGATCAGTTGCGATCGGCCGACAAACGTGCATACTACAGGGTGTATTTTTAGGATTTCTGTTTGGTCGACTACGGCGTCAAGTACGGTCAACTGTGGCCTTTGTAATCGATTTTATGAGTTTTCTGTCATTCTGTCCGGTCGACCGCGGAGTCAAGTGCGATCAACCGCGACTCAGTTTTGAGCTCGAGCTTTGTTTTCTAACCCATTTCGTTTTGTGTTGATATATAACCCTAAACCTGATTAATTAGGGTTAATTAAGTACGACTTTGAACAGCTTTTGAGAGAAAATTGTACATCCTTTGAGGGTGATACGAGTCGCTGTGTGAGCACCTTTGATCGTGGAATTATCAAAAGTGAGTTGAGAAGAGGATGACAGAAACACAAGAATAATTCAGTATGTGGCGAAGATAAATACCCTCTCTAGATTATGATATAAAAAGATTACAATCCCTCTCTCACAATCTCACTAGAATCGAGAACAAACTCTCGATTCTCTCTAAACCCTAATCTCTCTTGATTAGAATCTCTCTTTGATTACATCTGAACAAACTCTCGATTCTCTCTAAACCCTAATCTCTCTTGATTAGAATCTCTCTTTGATTACATCTGATTGATTAGAAATCCTAAAACAAATACTTATATAGGTGTAACAACGTGGATGACAAAGTGGTAAATAACCAAGCTGTCATTCTTTCTCCAGATGACGGCTGGTAATTGGAGGAGAAGTCATTTGTGCATAGGAAATCGTCATGGTAATCTTCTGGGAAATGACTTGTAAGCCGAATAAGCGACTTGGGCATGAGGTTTGTCAGAATGGAGATCTTGATAGGTCTGATCAATACTGTTGTGTCGATTGATATCTAAAGTGAACTTAGTCGGCTTTTATCCCTTTAGCCGAGGTGGATTGATCTGCGAGCCATCATTATGATGTGGCGACCCGATAGTCGAGTGAGCTTCGGGTCGGGTATATAGTCGAGTCGTCTGCTCGAGGAGTCGTCTTAATTGCGAGAGGGCGACTGATCCCGTACTTCGAGCCGGTCATGATGATCCTTGATCGAAATATGACTTGTCTGCTCGTCCGGTCGAGGGACTTGGCCTTGACTGGGCTTTTGAGCTTCTGAGTTGGTTTGGACCATGGCTCCATTGGGCTTATGCAGACATTCTCCCGACATTTCTATCTTTGGATGATAAATTACCATAACAAGTTCGTTGTCGTGAATTTACACTATTTCGTACTGGACGCAACAAGTGGAACAGCTGCCGTGGAGAATTGAAGAAACAGTGAAAAAGTTTAGGAAATTACATGCAGGAAACTGTTTGGAAGCTTGTCGGTCGACCGCGAGATCAGCTGCGGTCGAACGGTAAACGTGCACACTACAGGGTGTATTTTCGGATTTTTGCACGGTCGTCCGCAGCGTCAAGTGCGGTCGACCATGGACTATGTAATCGATTTTACTAGTTTTTTGTCATTATGTCCGGTCGACCGTGACTTGGGTCTGAGCCCTGGGCTTTGTTATCTGACCTGCTTCGTTTTGTATTGATATATAACCCTAAACCTGATTAATTAGGGTTAATTAAGAACGACTTTGAGCAGCTTTTGAGAGAGAATTGTGCATCCTTTGAGAGAGATTTTGTGAGAGATTTTGAGAGCTTTGTTCGAAGGTTGTTGGTGAGATTGTAAATCCTATTTGTATTCTCTTTATCTCTAATAGTAAAAACTCCTCCCTCATTGTCTCGTTGACGTATGCAACTTTTCGAACCACGCAAATTGGTTTGTCTTGATGTGATTGTGATTTGTGCTTGTGTTTTGGTTGTGATTTTTCTCGTTCTTGTTTGTGCACTATTTGGCTTTCGAGTTCCGCTACGCAAAACATTCATGGCATTTGAACATAGTACACAAGAGTTACTAACAAGAATATTATATAATAGTTAATGTAATTAATTAATATAATATAAATTTTATATTTTAATATATTTATTATAATATAATTTCTTATAATAATATATTCTATAAGATGTTTAAAGGGACTTCGCATTAATTAGTGCGTGGGATTCTTTTGTGTTCTGACGTAGAACCGCTTGAGTCTTGACTTGGGTCACTTCAATTTTTGTCTCTAGTGAACTCCAGTGAGTGGATCTAATTGGGCAAGCAACTTTGTGTTATTGTAATATTCAATTATCTTATAATTTACGAATAATAGTATAAGTCAAGGGAATATAATTTAAAGTGTTTACTAAATTTAGCGGACAATAATTTATTTTTAACAGTACATCATTTGATGAACAAATGAGTAGCTTATGAGTAAAATGCACAGATCGAACCAGCGAGATCTTGAAATTTACATGATCAAGACCATTTTGAAAAGCACAGCTCACGAATCATTGAAACACATAGAACTTTGAATAGCATTGTGGTGATAAATGTTGAAAAACATGACCAGGATGGGTTTTTTTCTTAAGTCTGAACATATACCAAAATATTCTTTAACTTATATTGGAGGGTTTCGTTTCTACAATGAGCCATGCACAAGATTGAAATGGGAAATGAAAGCATATTACTGCGTGCTTGCTGTCTGGTCTGTAGACTTCGAGGACATGAAAAGCCTCTACAACTCTGAACGCACTTTCTAGGGTCAATCACACACAACTTTTCTCCTTTAGTTTTTCCTTTAATTAGAAAATTGCATGAATTTGACCACTTTTTGTGAAGAGCCTTGTCGTAGAAAAACTGTCTTTGCTCAGTGACTTCATTAATTTTCAAACTTTAGGCCTAATTCTCTTTAGACTTTATGGTAAGAAAAATTCATTAAGAACCTAAAATATGGGACCAATAAGGGGGTTAAGTGAGGTGTCCCCTCCTAATGGATGATGAGTTGCTCATCATTAATGATGTCCAACTCATTATCCAATAGGAGGGTGACACATCACTTGTCCCACCTATTGGTCCCATATTTTGAGTCCCTGTAGCAAAGCTCTTATGGTAGTGTATGCCTTCAATTGGGGGTAATTTGAGCCCATTATGTGCTACCTAAAGGGAAAACCCCTGATGCACTGTATAAATTGTGTGCTCATACGATTTTATGTTTATGCTTGTTTGTACTGAATTAAATATTTGACTAAAATAATAATGTGTTTAATCATCAGTTTTAAATTAACACAAACAATGCATATCATCATCGAAAACGATTAAGCTAAACTTACAAATAGAATATCGTATCTGCATGAACATTACAGAAATCATTAATATTGTAATCACAAAACCTAGGATACTTGTGAACTTATTCCGTATCACTTTTAATTTGAAGATGATAGGGTTTCTATTGAGCGGAGACAAAACAAGTTGTTCATGTCTTAATCTTCTGGATAAAAATGTGCACGTGTTGGAGTTATCCTTTTAGCAATTTCCCATAGAAATCTTGAAGTGGGACGAGTTAATTTCTTGGTCTTTCACGTCATATATTTAGAGGCTTTCAATTTCAATATCTACCTGCTAGTTTATTGATCAATATCGTGGAAAGCAAAATGCGCGCGGTAAGTATCACTTATAATTAAACTAGTAGAAAATTAGAAGACGAATTTCTACAATGAAGGAGATGTTTTGTGAGGATTTATGAGTCTTTTTGAGTATTTTTTTTAATTCTGTTTTTCAAATTAAAGGTGGTCATTTTACTTTTATTGCCATCTCCATTATGTAAGCCCATTACTGGGCCTGCTAAAGTTTGTTTTGTTTTATTATGTTTCTTTGTTAATGTAGAGGTAAGCAATCGGCCTACAGATGTAGCCCATTAAGCCCATATTGGCCACTATAGATGTAGCCCATTAAGCCCGTATTGGCCAGTATATGGCCTTGGGCCAAATTTTTCCATTGAAATTTAAATTTGCACAGCCAAAAATTTCAATTTTAAATACAATAATTGAATTTTCTTCTGACTTTAAAAAAAAAGAGAGAAGAAATTGCCCTCCTTCACATTTTGCCTTTGATCATTTCTTCGTAGTCTTCTTAATAGAATCCCCAATTACTCAAAATATAAAGTTTTCGCATATCATGTTTGTTTGAACTCAAAGCGATAACGTCATGACTCAATATGCTCTCTTCTACCCCATATTGACAGTAAATTCTATGTCTACTCTCTTCTTCTAGGTTATCATTTGGTCTATTAATAATCTTCTTGCATGCCACTATTTGATAATATTCAATGATATCGGATGCTTTGGAAGCAATATTTTGGCAGTTGTGTCAATATATTCATCACACACAATTTTTTTTTAAAGATTATGATTCAACAAGTAGACTCTCAAGAGTATCCACCCATTTCTCTCAGTATATATATACCCCTTTTCAAACACAATACACAAACATCTCAAGCACTTGCGTTCTCTTGTAACTCATCTATCCAATGGCCTCCACAATGGCTCTCTCCTCCCCTTGTCTCGCTGGAAAGGCGGTGAAGCTCACCCCTTCGGCAGCCTCGGTGCTCTCGGCTGCGTCTTCCCTGAGCTTCTGGCCCGCAACGGCGTCAAGTTCGGCGAGGCTGTCTGGTTCAAGGCCGGTGCTCAGATCTTCAGCGAGGGAGGTTTGGACTACCTGGGCAATCCTAGCCTTGTTCATGCTCAGAGCATCCTCGCGATTTGGGCTACTCAGGTCGTTCTCATGGGAGCTGTTGAGGGATACAGAGTTGCTGGTGGGCCTCTCGGTGAGGTGGTCGATCCTTTGTACCCCGGCGGCAGCTTCGACCCGTTGGGGCTCGCGGACGATCCGGAGGCTTTTGCTGAGCTGAAGGTGAAGGAGATCAAGAACGGTAGGTTGGCGATGTTCTCGATGTTCGGGTTCTTCGTTCAGGCGATCGTGACCGGAAAGGGGCCTTTGGAGAACTTGGCTGATCACCTCGCTGATCCTGTCAACAACAATGCCTGGTCCTATGCTACCAACTTTGTTCCCGGAAAGTGAGGGGATAAATAGTTTCTTCCTCTGCAACAACAATTGCTTTGTTCTGGAGGTTGAGACCGTTGGTGTTGTAAATTAAATTCTCTGGGTTGCAAATTGTAATCTGTTTTCATTTTTTTAAAGTAATTCTCGTGTGATTGTGTGGATTTGGCCTATTTCATTTGCTGGTATCCTGGGAATAAATATTTCAATTGAACATTGGTTTATTAACAAAACAATCTAATAAAGTAACATTAATCTAGGAAATTTGAAAACCTTACAGGCACATTATGCCTCTTTCAACAGGTTAGAGCTTAATCACGAGAAACATATTTTTCCTGCAAATGTAGATCTTAAGAGCCAAACTGTAGCAATCTTGTTGCTGTCTCGGTTGAGCATGTCATATTTGGGCAAACTATCAGTACCGCACTTGGTGCACTACATGGCATCAGAGTGCAAGCTTGGATTTCAGGGAAGTTATTATAAAAAAAAGAGAAAAGAAAATAACTTGTAAAGTTGTTTGATAGGATCCAACAGCTGGACCACCAAGCCACATTTATCATTTCAATTTTCTTGGCCCTTGATATGCATGTATAAATTTAGGAAATGTCGAAGCTTCTGGCAAAAATAGCGACCAAGGAAGGGATTACTTAAGTATGCTAAGTTAGATTTGAAAATAGTATTATTGTCATTCTTGTTTCTCTCTCAGAATCTAATAGTACTTATCACAGAATGTGGGTAGTCATGGACTGCATTTAGTCAAACTTTCAGAAGAAAGTTTTGTGTTTTTAGCCGAGCAATGCAACATTTTTTTATGCATTTATGATTTTTTTTTTTTTTTTTGAGACTCATGCCATCACTTTTAGAATATATTGACATTATTAACAGCGCAGAGATATTTTAATTTTCAGATTTGAATCAAACTGATATCTACTTAGCAGAGATATATTGAAAGTCAATGAACAATGTTTGCTAAAGTAAAATGGCCAATGGGCTTTCAAATAAACCGAAACTTGTCCCTCCAAAGAATCAGCTCGGAAGGTATTTGAAATCAATACCGAATCTTATTAAACTAAGGATCTTCATTGAACTGTCAATCTGATTGCATACTCCTCCATGATACAAGCTCATTCCATGCTACTTCCTTATCTATATTAAGTTTTGTGAAAAGTAATTAAAGTCTGTCAGTCACCAGACTAGCTGTCTTCATAACCATAAGTCTCAGTCTAGTGCTGTCATGCGCTGGACGGGCAAGCCTTTTGGCGCAATGTAAATTATGGAACCTACTAAGTGCAGCGTGTGGTTTGGCTCAAACCACTACCAAAATCGACTAGCCGATACTATACATGAACCTCATGATTAAAATCGCGACATGACAATTGGTCCCGTCCCAGTGTCCCCACCAGGTGGTGTGGACTTTAGTGGTGCCCTGACTAACTGCTTTGGTACCATTTATCGCGTTGTTTGACTCAAACCACTGCCAAAATCGATTAGGCGATGCTACATTTGAACCCCATCCTTATCCATTCGAACACTTAAAAAATGTTTAGTCACCACTTGAAGTGTGACTATATTTGGGTCACTACAAGTGCTGATTCATTTCTTCGCGCAGCTCTTTGGAAGCTTAGTCTTAGTCGTACTCTGGCAATCGATATAGATTTTTCACGAAGGCAAATGCAAATGTAAATTTTTCTCATGTGCTGCATATAACCTTCCAAATTATTTCAACAAATCTTTGACAGTAGTGGATGCATGGAACTTTTAGCTAGAAACATCATTTGAATAGAGCTTTTTAGCTAAATTTTTCTCATGTGTTGCACAACCCTGGATTTCATCGCACCAGCTGAGCTTTTTGAATGAACAATCTCTGTCAGT